ATTAAGAACATTATTTTTGAAATGTACTGGCATTTTCAATTATGAATATAATATTTAGGACACAATCAATACCTGTCTTGTTCACACTGCCTTCTTGTGTTTTTTCAACAGTCAATTCAGCTAACATATTGCTTGCATCATTTTCTTTATCTTCCAACTGCACATTTTCTTTATCTTGCAATTGTTCTCCATGTTCTTCAGTTGCAAGTTCACAAGATTCTGCAAAATATTTACAAGAGCTAACACAATTAGTACTTGTTACTAATCTTTGATTAAAACAAACATGTATAAAATTAAAAAAAAACACTGTCTAACCGTTTGCAATAGTCAAGATCATCCCAATTAAATCATTATCTTCACTAGCATTTTCTTGGATTCCAATATTGTCGGTAAGAGAGGGAGGTGTAGAGAGATCACATGTTCCATCTATGCATTTGGAAACAATCTCACTTCTGCTTGTTCCTTCTGTATTTTCTACGTCTTGTGATTGTACTCCACTTTTTTTTTATACTCCACTCCAGCTTCTTCCCTTGCAGCTTCAAAAGATTCTGAAACATTTGCAATTAATACCCATTCTAATAATTTACTAAAACTAACATTCAATATATAATGAAAATTAAATCTAACCTTGATTGGCACAAGTTTGAACTCCAAATTTCTCTTTATATGACAGAGGTGTAGACAGATCATATGTTCCTTCTAAGCATTTGCATACAATCTCACTGACACTTGTTCCCAATGGACTTTCTAATTCCTCCTGAGATTGCAATCCACATTTACAAATTTTTTCTGTTACTCATGTCTCTTTTGGATTTTCCTGGTCTTGACATTCTCCTACATCTTGAACTTCCACTCCATAAATAGATTCTACAAATATTTGTAATCATAAAAAAGTTTATATGTATTATGCTATTGAATATAAATTTCAATAAAAAAAATTAAAAATCTATATCTAACCTTTCCCAATATCAGTGACGTTCTCAGTTTCATCATCTAGATGTGCATCTCTAAAATCGCTTTCATACTGAACTTCTGCATGCACATCCATATCATCACCACCTGCATCTTTGTTAATTGTAACAGTAGGCTCTGTACCACGACAATGATCATCAACTCCATCTTTAGTAATTGGAACACTAGATTCTCTCTCTATGTTCCTTTTATCAGGTTTCACATAAATCTTCAACAAAGTATCAAGCTTTGATCCTAGACTTTTCTTTAAATCCTGAGAAAGAAACTAAGTTAGAAAGTTAAGGACAAGCAGTCCTAAACTTCAAGTTACAAGTAAAGAAGTTAAGGACATGCAATCCTTAACTTAGAGTAACAAGTTCAAAAGTTAAAGACATGCAGTCCTTAACTTTGAATTCCAAGTTAAAAAGTTAAGGACATTTGGTCCTGAAC